CTTCCTTCCTTCCTTCCTTCCTTCCTTCCTTCCTTCCTTCCTTCCTTCCTTCCTTCCTTCCTTCCTTCCTTCCTTCCTTCCTTCCTTCCTTCCCTCTTCTCTCACTCATTTGTTCCAAGAGTCATATTTTCCACCCAATCCTAATTAGAAAAAGGAACTAATGCTACCTAAAATGTACTAATGAAAAAAAAAAAGCAAGTAGCCAGTTTTATGAGCTGAGTTACAGAAAAAACTATGTAAATTTATGCATAGCCAAGGCAGGATTGTTTAAGTTAAAGAAAAGTAATTGGTATAATTAAAAAAAAAAACTTTCTCCAACTATAAATCCAAATGCCAGCATTTTATGCACCCCAGTTTCTGAACTCATAGAACCTTCTATAAGTCTTCTGTCTGAACAACTTCAAGGTTGCAGTCACTATATTAGATAAAACTGAAAGGACCAATGCAGGGATGCTAGTGAAAATTTGAGCAGCACAACATTTGTTAGTCTACAACTCAAAGTTGTAAGAGATTTTTAAATTGCAGCGTAGCAGCCAACAGAAAATCCTGATTGGACCATACAGCTTGTGAGCCACGTGTACCTTCAGCTCCCTTCAGGTGCAGTAACAAATAGGAGAGCTGCCAAATTTTTACAATGGATTATTTATTCAGAATGTTTAATTTGTTAAATGTCACTGTAAAAATAAACCCTTTTCTGCTGTAAATTTGGAAGTATTAAAAATAGATTAGATAGAATTTATTGATTTTGGTCAGTGACCAGCATGAAAAGAAAGGAAATAAAAAGTGCAATAGATCAAATGTACCAATATGGTGTGAGACAATATTAGGTAGCTGATAGGAAATGAGTATATTAAAGTATTTATATACGTGTATTTAGGTATGAAAACTAGCAAGGGTGATGCTAGCAAGGGCCACATCAATAATGCTTTTCAGCTTACTTAGTCATTTTATTAATAAGTAACACAAGAGAGTGATGAAGTGTGTGAGAGCATGTGTATATGCATATGAATGTAGCATATCAGATGTATGATTAGTGGTGTTGATGAAAAAAAAATAAAGAAGAGATCCTGCTCTATATGATTTTCTGAAACAACTGAAGTTCCTTTTGATAATTGGATGCACTGAAGCTGAAATTGATAATTAACTATCTTTCAGCTTAAAGGATCATTAGAAAGTCAAACACCTAGCCACATAATTACCATAACCTGACATTTTTCTCTTGAGTTCCTTATCTCCTTATGTTCTGTAATATAAAATATCTTATCTACATCTCCAGATGACAGCTTTTGAGAAACTAATCCTTTTCTGAAAAATATCATCCATATCTTCCTAGAGATTCATTTTAAAGATGTTAACTAATTGGATTTAACCTACCCTATACTCCTCACTTTCATTTTCCTTACAAGGTAAGCCCTAATCTCCTGGCAGTAAAGTACAGGAATTGTAGATATTATAAAAATATTCCTTTCTATAACTTTTGGTAGAAAACTATTCTTCCAGTAAATTAGGAAGCCCATGAATGATGAACAGCCTCCAGTGGCAAAATAAGCAGAAAAACCTTGAGAGCAATCATCCATAAGTCAGTAAAGGTGGTACCAGAAGGTTACAGGGAATCATTTGGCACTTCATAAAGTAGCCACCCACTTTGCTGGCACTTTGGCTGGGCAAATGAAGACCATTATATATACATCTCTGGTATTTTTAAGTGAATTGCTGAGGGCTTCGCAACTAAGGCAGCAGCTGCCTTCCTGGAGAAGAAAATGGAATGAGGGCCCACCAGGGAGGTCTGTACAGTCAGAATTGAAAATATAAAGGATAAACATTACATAGATAGATAAAAATGATAATAACTTACTGCTATTTGGATTGTCACCAATGATATGATGTCGGCCACTCCAATACCACAACAGCAAAGTAGCATCGCGAGAGCCAGAGACTATGTAGCAGTCCCCACCGATATAAGACTCTGATCTGGCAAGACAAGTGACTACATCCCAATGGCCAAATACGATCTGTGTTAGTTTGCCTACAACAAAGACAGGTTGCTCGACTGGTTTTTTTCCCCCCCATGCTGCAGTGTATTATGAATACAAATGGCAAACAAATTTAAAGACAAAGCACAAATAAAAGACATTTTCAACAGTGGGCTATAAAACAGGTATCAGTTATTGTCTTCACTGATCCCAGGCAGCAAGAGAAAAGGTATTCAGTTTGAACATGTTGTATGCAGGCTGTACCAAGTATTAGACAGGACAAAGGCATAACATTTCCTCTCGTTGGATGTAATCACCATGCAGATGTGTTATTACTTCTTTTTGATGTATGATATGGCATTTCAGACAACAGATGCTATGTCATTTGCACTAAATGGACTGCAGCTTTAACATGTATGAATGTAAAAACAGCAGTTCCCTCCAGAGTTCTCACCCTGTATCCTAAAGGCTGAAGAGCCTTCTGCATTCCCAGGTGTCAAGGTGATATAACATTGACTTGTTGTTCATCAGAAAAACATAGAAAACTGTCTATTCTTGAATGGTAATGGCTCTCCAGAGTCTCAAGCAGATATCTTGCCTTTCACCTACAAGTGATCATTCTTCACTGGAAATGCTAGGAACTGAACCTGTGACCTTCTCTATGCAAAGTATTTGTTGTATGATTGGATTACATTTTTTTACTCTTCTGATCTCCTCCTGTCACAAAACCATCACAGCCAAGCCAGATGCTGGATTACAAGCCTCTCTGAGAATTCTCATTGCAGTTGCTGCCACTGGGATTCTGAATAGTTTAAATCTTGAAAATTTAAACAATTTGGGGGGAAATGGGGATTTGAATAGTACGAGAATCTGCCATTGATAAGTAACAGATTCATCCTACCCCAAAGGAAAAAAACCACACAAACATTTCAACTCGCCCCTCATCAGAACATCCTAAATGAGTATTCTCTCAAAAGATATTGCAGGATTCCATCTGCGGACCCTGAAATCTTGTTAAGGCTTCATTCTCACCTGAGGCTGGATGATAAATGAGGGCAAAAATCTCCAAAATTTCAAACATGGTTTTAAATTAGCTCCTGGGATTTGTAAAAGTTGCTAACCCTTATTTCAATTCCTTCTCTAATCTGGAAAAAATTAGCATTTTCTATACTACTTTATTTAATTTTTAAAAAATATTTCTATTTTGATATACTGTGAATGATATAAGAATATGAATTTCCATGTGAAAATTCCACCTGTTTCTGTTGAATAAACTCGAAAGCTCTTGTCCCAGAAACCACAGATAAGAATGTAGCGATTATCTGCTGTGACCACAAAACAATGAGCATTGATTTGAATGCTTTGATCCACAAGGTCTGTGATCTGCCGTTTATTCACACCAGAGTTATTGGCTGTGTGGAATAGGAAAAAAACAAATTCTTTCAGCAACTTTATATCATGCAAATAAACTTTTCATTGAACTTTGGATGTGAGTGAGCATGCATTATAGTAGAATTAATATACCTTCAATCCCATATGTCAAGTCTCATAATAAGAGCCAAAGTTTTCCTAATGTACACTGCTTGCAAGCAATTTCCCCCTAATATAATGCATTTTGGGGGGGGGTTGGTTTTGCTTCCTTCATAGTATAAAATTAAAGTTGGCTATAGCTATTTTTCTCTATCTTCTATTTCATGAAAAAATAATAAATTATTACTGGAACTATTTCTTAATATTTCTTTTTTATTTTCCATCTAACATAGCATACCAATCAATGGATCCATTTCTATAGGAAGGTGATGAGCTTGATCTAGAGAATATCCTGGTGCTCCCCTGAGACCTAAGGAATAGGAAAAAAAAATGTCAATAATGGCTATATGAAATTAGGTTTGTACTATGGGATTCTTTTTTCCGGTTGCCACATTGCAAAATGATAAAGATTTTTTTTGAAAAACTGGAAACCTTATATATACTTTTTGTTGATAGAAAAAAATATCTAATTGATGATTTTAGGATCTGGGATTGAAAAGGGACAAGGAGGATAGGGAAAACATTAAGATGATAATGGTATAATTGTATGTTTTCTTTTGAAAATGAAAAAAAAAATCCCTTTTTCTTTTTTTCTTACCTTTTTTTTTTTGGTTTGCATACTTTTACTGTATTGACAAATTCAGTGTATGTAGGAATGGCAGACAATACTGGAAAACATTCTGATATTGTACATTAGTGGGATGTAGTTTTCCATTCATCTGGATCTCAAAAGGAGCAAGTCTTCACACCTCATGAAAAACAACTCCTGGGCTCTCTAACCCAGGCATGTTCCGATTAGAGGAAAAGTGGGCTGGTATTACTATCAGTTCTGCTCTGTTCAAGTGATGAGGTGTGACACTTTTCATAGTAAACTTTTTGTTTTCACATATCAGAATTACAGCTGAATATAAATTTCCAGCAGGAGAGCAAAAAGATAAGTGGTGGGCCCAAGGTAAGATCTGTATGAGGGCATTTGTTTCGGACACCGAAGTTTGGACTCCTTTTTCATTTTGCTGTACATCTCTTCAACTATTTCCACTCATTCTCTACTGTGTGCATTTCCTAAACCTGTGTTCTTAATCTTTTTCTCAATTTCCCATTAATTTCCTCCGTTTATTACGGTTTGTTTCATAAAAGTTTTCATTTGTGTCTGAACAAAATTAGATGGAGACTGGCTTGTTTATTGGTACCACTTTTTTCTGCATTAAATAGGATATGTTTATCTAATGTGCCAATATCAGGAATGAATGTGTATAAAAGAAGTGTTCGCAGCTGAATCCTTCCTACCCTCCAGTAACTTCCAGCGCTTTCCAACTGCCCTGCTTCTAATATGGGGACTGCACTAGGTAGGGAAGCAAATTGCCTGAAGCAGCAGTGACAAAGTTAGACTTCAGCTGTTTTTCATCCCTGCCTCTCCCTTGATGTTTTAAAATAAAAAACAAAAACAAAACCCTCTCTCTCACCTCCACTGCATACTTTAACGCATTAAAAAACAAACATGGTGAACATGTATCTAGCTTGGCCCTAGAAATGCAGTGCTATCCACATGCAATCCAGTGTAATAAGTATTACTACTACTTAAATTGGGAGGATATAAACTAGCATTTAAAACAATACCAGACAGGTTATTTAAGTGTGTGTGTATATGTGTGCGTGTGTGTATGTATGTATGTATATGTGTGTATATATGTAAATGTGTGTGTATAGTTTTGAGGTGACAACTAATTTCCCTAGTGATATCTTTAGAGGTGGATTAAGTTCTAGGAAACATTTTTAAAAACCCTCCTTGGGTTTGCATATACTATTTGCACTTATTTGTGTAATGACGTTTAATACAAACCCAACCCAAGCTATTTGTGAAACATGAACTCAGCACAAAACCCCTCTTGAAACACATACCTACTGTATTGTGCCATCTATTCACTGCAAAAAGCCGGCTGCAAGTCACAGTTACCACGGCAGGAATTGTAAGGTGGGGAAGTGTATTGGCTGCCACATGTGTGACAGGAGAATTTGATGGAAATTTGAGCACCATTATAACATCTTGCTGCATCTGATCTTTAAACATAAGTGGACTCTGTGGAAGGAAACACTGTTGAGTAGAAGGAGAAGAGAACAGAACGAATAACACAATTAGTGAGGAGGTCTGAGGGAAAAATAAGGTTAAGAGAGTCAGGAAGTACTTACACATCCAGGGGAAAAATGTTATTTGTACAGCTACCACTACAATTACAAGACAACAAAATTAGAGAAGTGGTTACTAGAGCATTACACTAAGGCAAATACGGAAAAGTCATGGCAAATGTCTATTTGGTTGTCATTACAGGACATGTAATGATACAGTCAACATTAACAGATAGAAAATCTCACTAAAATGCTTATAGTTGTTTATTCAGTAAAGATGTCAAACAGAAGCAGTAGCTTAGTCATCCATTAGGCTTACATAATACACAAGCTGAAGAAACATAAACTGGAGGAATTGACTTAGGAGTTCTATAAAAGCCAATAGCAAAACTAAATGTAACGTCATTAACAGAAAGAAGAAACACTGAGCTAAGCTGAAAATGGCAAGACCATGGAAAACACGCTCCTTAATAAAATGTATTACCCTTATCTAATGTTATGCTGGTGATTTTTAGTGATGTAGAACAGAGTGGGGAAGTACTCAATGTACTGTAACCTAAAAAAGCAATCTAGTCATGCAGCAATTGTCATTCTACAATGCTTGAGTGAACGGGCATGTCTTCAGTTGTTGTCTAGTAGAAGACAGCACAAGGGCATGTAACCTCCCTAAAGTAGGAGACACCACCACTGAAAAGGTCCTACTACTGGCCACAACACTGTGAGCCAAACCCATTCATAGAACTACAAGCTGGGAGGTCCCAACTGATTTTAGGGCACATGTTGGAAGACACTAGGAGAAGTAATGTTAGGAATCCATGGGCTAAATGTCAAGCCCTGTATCACAGGACACAATAAAGGAAACAGGAATCACACAGAACTCAATAAGAAGTTTTAATAAAAGAATAAGGGGTAAGGAACAGAACCTGGGAACCTACACCCCCTGTTATTAATGGAATCATTAAATCCATTAAAGTGGACTCTTTGAAGGTTTTGAATATTTTATTCCTTGGCTTTGTAAAACCTGGACTGAGCTGTCACTTCTGCATTTAAAGCTACCACTGAAATCTTCTCCCATCAGTTGCAGAGTTCTTCCCATTTCTTTCTCATAACAATCTCTTATGCTACTGACAACACCTTAAACTGAGCCTGGTAGCTCTTAGCACCCATTGTAGTGCTTCAGGGCTGGTATTATGTGGTCCCATTTAATCACTCCACTTAACAATCAGGCAATTGTATTGTACATTGCTTGCACCTTCTGAACAATCTTCCCCTACATCACTGATCTGCATTACAATAATCGAATTGTGATGTTTTGACTACATGTATTACTGAAGTTGGGCTATCCCAATTAGGCACAATGTCTGCCAATACCCTAGCCTTGCTGAAGCTGGGCACAGGCCCTCTTTGCAATCTGTTTTCCTAGTGATAGACTGGAATCAAGACAGCCCTGAAGCAGTACAACTGTTTCATTGGGCGGGAGTGCTAATACATTATCAACCCTACAAAGTAGACCAGACCAAGAAACAGACACCACAAAGGCTTAAAACTGCTTTATTAGAATGGCTATATTAACAAAATCTTGCAAGTTTAAATGTGCTTCCCCTCCTCCTTATTTTATTTTCTTGAGAATTAGAGGGTGCCTGTCTGAGATATTTTTTTAATTTCTCTCTTTGTATGGGGCTCAAGCCACATTTATCTGTTTGTTGCATTGGTAATAGATCTTCCCTGTCTCCATCAAGGTCATCCTCTATACTCTCTACACACATCCTGAACAGTGTACATTCCTAATTCCCAGAACTGAGAACCTCTGATCCACAGTATCTTCATTTTAACATGAAAAACCTTCAGTTTACTGGACCTCATCCAGTCCATCCAGACAACTGTCAAAGATCATAACAACAACACCTGATTCAGTTGGAAAGAAAGTACTCAATATACTCAGAATAATGGTGAGATCATATTCCACATTTTCAGATGATCTTTTCCAGCAGTTTCATATAGATACTGAATAGCAAGGAGAAAAAGTAGTACTCTGTATAATCTCAAAGCACATTCACCATAGGCTGAACAAAAAAATTCCATTGACACTCTCTGCTGGTGATTCTGTAAGGATGAATAGAACCAACACAATATTGTGCCCCCAAATCCCAAGCCACTAAGATATTCTAGCATATCAAATAATCAGTGAAGTGACAAGATGCTGAAAATTCCAAAAGAAGCACTTCTCTAGCTCTTTTGATAATGGCAACCAAGGCTATTTCAATTATTTATCCATATCTCAAGTCAGATTGCTTTCTTTCAAGCACACTTGTAATTGGATGGCTTTATATTTCTTTAGCATCTTGCCCCCAAAAGGAAAAAAAAAAATAGAACTGGATAATTGTCCAAAATTTCAAGGCAGGCCTTTTCAAGAGAGGTTGCAGAATTACTTCTTTCAGTGCAGTCCAAATAACTTAAAATGCACTACTGAGTAAACTGCAGGCTTCCATTTCACAAACAATGCAACACAACCTTTCCTTACAGCAACTTTCTGACAATTGAAGTGAAAGAACAGAGCACTTTTTGTGTGTGTGCCTTCAAGTCAGTGTTGACTCCTGGTGACTGCCTAGACAAGTCCTCACAGTTTTCTTGGCATTTCAGAAGTGGTTTGCCATTGCCTCCTTCCAAGGGCTGAGAGAGTGTGACTGGCCCAAGGCCACCCAGCTGGCTTTGTGCCTAAGGTGGGACTAGAACTCATGGTCTTCTGGTTTCTAGCCTGATGCCTTAACCACTACACCAAACTGGCTCCCAAAGAACACCTGAGATTAGAACTTCTATTGCATCAGTACTGCCATCTGTTGGTGCCTTATAATACTGAAGGCATTTATTTTCATTTAACCCTTATACAATGAATAATTAAAGAGAACTGCAGCACTGGAATATATTCAATGTGGTTGAAAAAAAATCCATGTATTCAATTTGGCAAAAATACATGTCCTTATATTTCAGATAATAACATGAAATGAGCAAATAGTATTTAGTGGTTGCTGTCCTCCAGAAGGAGATGGTACTAAAAGAATGGTCCTAGAATACAAATCTCTTCATCAACATTTAAGTAGTCTTTCATTCACCTGCAACATCTTCTCTTTCTAATCCTCTTCCAGAATGCAGTTACCACCGCAACTGCTCAAATACTTGTTGGAACAAGATGGCTTTGATGGGCTTTCAGAATGCCAAGGTTGAGGGAAAAATAAACTTCAGGCTAAGCTATTCCATGGAGAAAGACTGCCTCCATTCCCCTTTACCTCATATAGGGTAAGGACTCTAAGCATCCTTTCCTCAGATGCATGTATAATATGAGCGGAAGGACTTGGTTCTGAAGAAATAGGGAAGCCAAATCATACAGGGCTTTATAAGTTAAAACCATCACTTTGAATTGGACCCAGAAACTTATTGGGTACCCATGCAGTGATTGCAGCACTGTTACATTGTTGAAGCAGCTCAACCCAACCAGCAGCTAGGCTGCCACATTTTGTACAAAGTTTCCAAGCCATTTTCAAGGGCAGTCCCAGGTAAAAAGTGTTCAGCTGTGTAGCATGAGTCACTTTCAAAAGGTCTGCCTGGTCCAGGAAGGGCCACAACTGGCATACCAGCCAAAGCTGGACAAAGGGTTTCTTTTCCATTTGCTTGTTTTTGAGCTTGTTTTAGTCTATCACAGCTTCCAGACACTGAATAAGAATATCCACTGTATCTCTGTACCAGCATGGAACGGTGATGTATATCCGAATGATATCTTACCCCAGTCAATAGGTTACCATTCTAGAATATTCAAGAAATGTCTAAGAATATATTTTGCTTGCTGTAATTTTGTATCCCTTAAGGTTTTAAGCATTTTCTTTGCCATATTTTAAAGAATAGGGTTTTTGCTACTCTTGGACTAGGAATGGGGATCCAGGTTCATGTCCACCCTCAGCATAAAAACTTTCTGGGTGAATTTGAACTGTTACTCAATACAACCTGTTTTACTGGATTGTTGATTTGAGATTAAAATGGGAGGAATGAATGCTACATACATTGCCTTTTGCTGCTGGGGAAAAAAAGGAATATAAATCTAACAAATGAAAATATAATCAAATGCAAGAAAAAGTATTGCTTAAACAATTTTGCCCTTAATATTTAATGGCAGCCGAAGAGAAGCATTAAAAAAATGTTCTGGACTTTTGCTAAAACTTTATAGAAAATCCTCAAAAGTTAGAGGTTTAAAATAGAAACAAAAAGGAAATAAATCTAATATAGCTGAACAATACACATATTGTATATTCCTCTGGAATAAATACAGAAAAATGGATTAGGAATCATTCCGAGTTCAAACTGAAGTATTCAGTATCTCTTCTCTGGAGAGACAGCAGGAGATTAACTACAATTCCTCATTTTGGATAAGCAGTCAACATTCATGAATCACATAAATCATTTCTTCAAGCAATGGTCTGTGCAATAATGATCTTTGTCATAACAACGCAGGCTTTTTAATTTTGCAACATAATATTAATCATATACATATTTACTGTAGTAGAAGCTGATTTAAAGAATCAAATATTTGACAAATCACTTAGTAATTGCCCTATCTCTATCTCTCTTTCAGCATACTATTTTCCTGCACAAACACATACATACTAAGTCTGTGCTTGTAGGGAACTCAGAACTCATAAAGAGAAAGTGTTACTTAAATTGGCATTTATGACCAATATAGGATTCTTGGATTCAGAGGAAATAAATTCTCAACAAGCAGTTTTATCTCACCAGATGCATAGCAGAGCTCCGAGGAGGATGTGGCTCAATAAGCAACTGAGATGGCGTCTGTCCAAAGTTCTGTATCTGTGCCTCCATCGCCTGCAGGGAAAGCAGAGTGATTGTCATAATCAATGTGCATCAAAAATATAGGTCAACACACTCCTTGACAATACAAGCATATCCCAAGTCAGCCATGAAAAAAGTCCAGAAAATTCACTGGGTGCTCTCCCAGGCTGTAGACTCATCCAAGTGTTAGTATTTTGTAGACAAGTGTTGGTTCTTTCAAGCATGCTTCAGTTACTCCACTAATCATTGCTATTTCAAGTAGCTGGAAATGCATGTGAACATGTTAACCTGTGAGGACATGCAACTTAAGATCTTGTGAGAGTTCTCTGCACTAAATGCAGCATATACCTTAATGAAGTCCTTTGTAAGGAGGAAAGTATGAGGATCTCTAATAAAATAAGCATCTGGGATCTTGAATTAGAAAGAGAAATATAATTCATGGAGAATACAAATATAAAAAAAAAACATAATCACAGTTTCTATCAGATTAACTAGGCCCAAAGGAGATAATTATGTTGCTAAATGTATCTGGTCTACTTGTAGATAAAGTAACTACCCCAAATGCAACTTTATTACATTTTAATGCCATTTTCCTCAATACATAGGCATTTTCTTACTCAGTCTTCTTCAGACTAGCATGTACTATTTCATGGCTCATTCAGTCATATTTTATTGCAGGTACACATAATATCAAGAATTTGAATTTTTCTAGTATTATCCCTCCCAACAATTTCCTTACTTTTTTCTGCACATTTTCTGCACATCAAAAATTGTACTAACAGCAACATTAAAAAGATAAACTAACCAAGAGCAAAAACTGGCACAGTTGAAAGTTACAAGTTGATTTGGTGCTGGTGTTGAATATACGTTGTCGGAAAAAAAACCTTACTGTGTGAAGCAATTAATGAAGTGGCTAGCAATGCAAGTTCCCACCTTTCGAAGGCGGAGAGGGAATATTGCCCATTTCCCGCCCACAATACAGTGTCCCATCCAGCAGTATAGAATGGATACCACCACCCCTTAAAGTGTTAAGATATGGAAAATATTTTCAGTTTTGACTGCTTATAATGAAAATGAAGTGGTTTTGAAACAACCTGTAGAAGAAATTCCCTCATGAGGCAGAGTTGTGAACAGCTGTGGTAGAGGCAGCAGTGGTGAACTGTATTTACTACCCTCTATCCTGCTCTGCTTACAAAATCTACATTAAACCTGGCTACACTCAAATTTTTCTTAAGATACAGTCAAACATAGAGCATATTCAAATGATTAGGATGTGACTATGGTATAAGTGACTAATGCTTAGTTGTTCTCTAAGGAACAATGTCACTAGAGAATTAGTCTAAGCAGAAAAAATACACTCCTGTTTCCAGTAGTTTGGATTCCATCTGTTTACCCAATGTGTTCTAAAATAAGAGTATTACATGCAACTAGAATGTGTCGAAGAAAAAATTAAATGCAAAAGCAAAGATAATAGCTGCAGAAGGACAGAGTATTTGTACATTGTTGTAACACATTTTGTTATGTTTATCACTTGACCCCATCTCCTGCATGGACAGCCAGAGTCCACCTACATTTTAGATATGCATGTAAAAACATTCTATAGGTATGTCTTAAACTATAACACATGCATATTAGGTTATGTATATTGTTTCAGGTTATTTTCCCCTTGATTCAAATATTTATTTATCCCTTCTTTTTGTCATTTGAAAGGCCTAGTGAGTACTTGGCACAAAATATCAGTCCTGAACCTCATACAAAGCTATCAAGAAAATCCCCACAAATCACATTCAGCCTTGAAACTAGATCATAATTGAATCTAATACTGCAATCCCATGTCCACTTACCATTGTGTAAGCTCATTAAATTCAATGATTTCTGAACAGACATCCATCAAATTGTACAGGCAGTGTTATTTAAAAACAGATACCAGGAAATGCTCTGATAAACAAAACAGTCCTAATACTTCAAAAACAAACTATGTACAAGCAAGATCTGTACTCAAACCTGAAGAATTTGCTTTACCTGAAGAAAAAAAATACTCTCTTTGGTCTCCTACATTTTGGTCTCCTACGGCTGAGATTTCCTGATGACCTCCTTCATCATATGTTGTTTTTTCCCGCTTATACACAACGGTACTCTTTTTGTTCTACTCCAGAATAATACATAAATACATACATACACATACACACAAATCCTGTGCAGTGCACCTCCTTCCCCCAGCAATAGTTGACTGCTCCAGCTGAAACCAATCCTGCATATTCTTCCACCCAATAAATGTGTGCAACATTTGTGTGGGGATGCATATAAATATGTTTGTGTATGTTTGTAATATACACTACCAGAAGCTATATTTCAAGAAAAGGACAGCACCAGGACAAAAAAATAAGGTATTTCATTACAAAATTGAGTGACTCCAGCTGCATATACTCATGATCAAACATACAAACTACTGTCACACAGAAACACATGTAAATACAAGCACATGTTCCTCTCCCTTATTCCAGTAGGAACAGCAAAAAACAAACAAACAAACAAAAACAAAAAACAAAAAACAACAAAAACAAAAACAAAAACAAAAACAAAAAAATCCTAGGATGGAAATGTGGTAAGAGGAAGAGAACACTGCATTGGGAAGAGAAGAAAAAAGGGGAAAGGGAAACAAAACTGGTTAGTGAAAGAGGTAGCTGAATAAGGAGGGAAAAAGAGAGAAGCCCTGCTTGGGTGTTACAAAAGAGTTAAAGTTACCAGGCAAACAACCTCTCCCAAGCAGAAACTATTTTTCAGACTAAATTTCAAAGACATCCAAGCATTGCAGCAGCAAGCTCAGAATTTTAATAATAATAATAGTAGTAGTAGTAATAGTAGTAGTAGTAGTAAGAATATCTTCACTGGGGTAGATGGGGTGGAAAAGGAGAAAATAAGGATTCACGTTTTTTTACCTTAAAAAGAATAGCCAAAATTTGGAAAAATCTCAAAATTAGGATGTGAAGCTTGACATTGTTATGCAAATTTAGTGTCTATCTGGAAATTCATGCCAATGAAATACAGTCACAAGTCTTTCACTGATATATGTTTAAAATGTGAAGGGAATGTCAGAAAATGACAAAATTCTTTTAGGATTGCCAGTTTTCACCATGACATTCACACAATAAAACATAAATTAAAGCCATTATCCTAAACTACGAATGAATAACCTTATGCTCACAAGTTAAATTTATGTTCAATATACAAAGAATCATAAACTTGGAAAGGGTTATAAAAATAATCTAGTCCACTCCCCCTGTTTATAGTATATAGTGCTTATGGTATATAGTATACTATACTATATAGTGTATACTGCTTATAGCATATAGTATAGGATCCTTTGTACTATCAGCATATTTGATGACGATCCATCCCACCTAGAAAAACTAGGCCACAAAGGAATGCTAAAAATAGATTGTTTCCAGAAGGGTGCACATGATATTTATTTATTTATTATGAATGCTTTTTATGCTATTTGGGTTCTAAGCAGCAAAATACTAATACTGTAATAACAAGTCAGTAATCATCAAACAAATGGTCAAAGCAATCATAACCTTGTAACAACCGCAACAAAACAGCACTGTGCATCAGCAGCATCTCACCACACACACAGGGCCTTTCTGTCACAACAGGAAGAATCTCTCTTTTGTGGTAGTTTCAGATTCTAATAAGTTTATATTGGCACGAGCTTTCGTGGTCTAGAGCTCATTTCCTCAGGTGCATGAACTATTATCCCAAGTTGGCAGGTGAGTCTTTTCTTTTTTGAGGCAGCTAGACTTCCTCCATCGCATAGAGAAAAACAACTAACTGCTGCTGTTTCCCATTTTATAAGCATAAACAGAGCCTTCTTATGTTAATTAGGTGTCTGAAGACACTACTGTGGCCTGCTGAGCGTTTCATCTAATATGCTAGAGGAGGAATACTGCTCATGCCCATAATTTAGAGGGCCAAGGGGCAGTCCTGGAGCTTTCCTTGTAATGCTGAAAATCAGGATTGCTACTGCCAATCAGTACGGAAAATAATCCCAAGACAGACAGTCTAAGAGCTTAACTTGCATAAGGCAACTTCCTATTTCTGGACCAGATGAAACCATTTTGAAGTCTTGATGTTGCCATTTCCTTTGTAACTCTGTAGTGCTGGGCATGACCAGATTCTGATTCTCCTTCTCCTCCTTTTTATTCCACACAAGCCCAACTGATGGAAAATCCACAATGGATCCATCTATACCAGTGTTTCTCAACCTTGGCAATTTTAAGATGTGTGGACTTCAACTCCCAGAATTCCTCAGCCAGGGATGGTGGCTGGGGAATTCTGGGAGTTGAAGTTTACACATCTTAAAGTTGCCAAGGTTGAGAAACACTGATCTATACAAACACAGAATATATTGTTTGACTATATGTTAGGTGACATTTACATTCATAGCAGCAAGGATGAAGTGGCCCCGATTCTTTTTTCCATATAAAAGATTTAAAGCAGGGTTTCCCAAACTGGGGGATGTACTTCCCTTGGGAAGGTGCAGACAGAGTCCAGGGGAAGTGTGAAGAACATTTTAGCTACCTTGTTACAATAAATCCACCTTTCCCAAAGTTGCATTGTATGATTTTCATTGTTCACGTTGGTGTCTGGATTTTTAGGGGAGGTGTGCACATTAGGGTTACACTAAAGGGAGCTGTGATGGCAAGAAGTTTAGGAACCCCTGGCTTAAAGGAATGCCTAAAGATTAGGCATTAATCCAACAAATTCAAATACCAGATGCATGATAATACCTTTAAATCTAGGGTAATGCCTACATGAAAACAAATTGTCAACAAAGATAAATTAAGTTCTCTTTATTGTACAGGTTAAAAACACCCGGGATACAGATGACCCATAGTTAAGAATGGAGCCTACTGTAGCAAAATTCAAGTTAAATACACAATGATTCGAGTTATATACACAATGGTTCGAGTTTATTACACAATTCTGCTTACACAGTATTATACAATAATACTGTTCCAGTTTATATACAAATTCAACTTAAGGACAGACCTTGGGAATGGAACTTGTTTTTGAATTGGGGACTACCTGTATTTCTATTTTATTTTTCTTCCACTCAATAACAGGGGCAGAATAATTTTCTTACTTTCTTATACAAATTCAGCTTGATTGTATTGTTGTTTAGAGCAGAAATGACTGACAGCACACTGGGTATATAGCACATACAGCCTGAAATGTTATTGTTTCATACTAATGGTATGAGATATTGCTTTTTTATTTGTGTTTATAGCTGTTAAATTGCATTAAAATCTTCAGAAACCGTGAGAAGATAGCTGAAGATTATTGATTTCAGCTTGACATTTATGCACGTAAAAGCTTAGAAGAGTTTTTTTTAAAAGAAGCAATAACTG